CTCCCTGAAGCAGCCAAACACCACAGAAAAAAACTGCAGCCCACCCCACCCACATGAGCAAAGGCAAGTGCGGGACCTAGACTCTCACCCTCACCAGGCCGCAGTGAGATGCCCAAACCCCACGCTGGGCAGGGCATTGAGCCCTGAGTTTATAAACCGAGTGAGGCATGGCATTCAGCCACAAAGACTGGGTTCTGGTGGAGGATAAACACAAGTCAGCAGCTACGTAGAGTGTGATGCGTACAGTGGTGAATTTATGGGAGGAACATTTAATCAGCAAGAGGAAAGGAAGACCGAAGCAGGATAGGAGGGAAGGCTTCTTTGAGGAACTAATTCTAGACATCAATTTGTAAGGACAGGCAGAACTAGCCAGATGGAAGAAAGGTATTCTAGGCCAAGGAACTGACAACTATTGAGGCACAGAGGGGAAGAACAGAAAGTACTTGGAAAACTACAAATAATTCTGTCTGACTGGAGTGAAGAGTGCTTAGGATGGAACAGAGAAAGATAACGCCAAAGAGGCTAGAGAGGGGCCAGGTAGAGAAGAGCCTGTGGGCTACGGTGAAGAATGTGTACTTTTTTATAAATCTGCAAGGAGCCACCGAAGGATTTTCAGCATTTTTTAAAGATCACTCTGATAACGGTGGGATGGATGGATTAGAGGAGGATCAGATGCATCAGGAATCTGACAGGACGACAGGACGCAACTGCAGGAATCCACACAGGAAAGGATGAGCACAGAGACCACAACAGGATGGGGTAGGGGGATTATAAAAAGCGATATCTGATAAATCCTATAATCTGAGTCAGTTTTACCAAATTTGAGGATTGTAAGGAGAAAGAATAGAGAGGGAAAGCAGAGCCACAGTCAACTCTAATACTGGGTGCTAGTGTTCACATGTTACTAACTAGCTTTGTGGCTATGGGCAAATCTCTGTGGGCCTCATTTTTCTCATCTATCAAGTGGAGATAAGAATGGCAACCATGCCTATCTCACAGAGTTATTGTATAAATATACGATGAGACAACAGATGTGAAAACACTATAAATGGTAAACATAGTGTATTATTTCCCGTTGCTGCTGTGTCAAACTACCACACACTTAGTGGCTTAAAACAACACAAATTTATTCAGTTACAGTTCTAGAGGCCAGAAGTCTGATGTGGGTCTCACTGGGTGAAAAGGAAGGTGTTGGCAGGCCTGTGTTCCTTGTGGAGCCTCTTGAGAAGAATCCATTTCCTTGCCTTTTCCAACTTGCATGTCTTGGCTCATCGTGCCCTCCTCCATCTTTAAAGCCAGCAGCATAGCATCTTCAAATTTCTCTCTGATTTGGACACTGACTCTCCTGCTTCCCTCTTTCACTTATAAGGACCCTTGTGAGTACTGGGCCCATGTGATCCAGGATCATCTCCTCACCCCAAGGTCAGCTGACCAGCAATCTTAATTCCCCACCCACATCCCCATCATGTAACATAACACAGGTTCCAGGGATTAGGAAGTGGACATCTTTGGGGGACCATTATTCTGCTTACCATACATACAAAAGATTCTAATTTAATGTCTACTTGGCAGTCAATTGTTTTTTTCAATTTCACAACTAATATGGCCAAGAGTTATTTTATAATTTTAAAAAACAAGATATCTGAAAAGAAAGTTTTCTAAGTAACTCACTGTTATGTCCATAAGATTTAGCAATATATGCTAAATACCTAAAAGCTCAATGATATCTATAGATTTTGATTATTTAATGTAATATAACAACTCCTATCTTTTCAAAACAAATGAAAATTTAAGACAAAGATACCATTGCAAAATCTAAACAGAATCATAAGCATTCTGGTGTTAAACTTCTAGGATAATATCCTGGCCTGTAAAGAAACAGGTGGGAGTACAGTGGTACAATTAGCTCATGCTGTTTCTAATCATAGAAATAAACCCACTTTGAGGTCTGGAAATATAGGAAAGGTCAGGCTGTCAGTCAAACAAAGGGCATTCAGTACTCCAAAGGTAAACACTCCTGACCCCAAGCAAGTACACAGGCGAGTGAGGAAGGCGCCATACTGGGGTCTGCAAGTAGAGGACAGCTCAACCCAAGTGAAGTCCAGACTGCTCCCCAGGACCCCTAGGGCAGGCCTAGTGCAGATCCCTATAAGCCATCTGGTTTCAAGACACGTATCTTCTATATCTGTCAAATATATCACTGTAGATTATACCTTCTAGTCCCATCTAATGGTTATCCTAAAAACATAATACAGACATAGGACCAAGATAACAATTCCTAAAAAATTTGTTAATAAATATAAAGTTCCTAAAATAGCACAAAAATAAACAGAATCTATCCAAATCTGAAAAATCACAAATCATATGTTTCCCTAAACTTATAAATAATTTCAACCAAGCTAATATCAGCGAATTATTCAAAACAATTTCCAGGGTATCTCACTTCAACGTCCTGTCTTTTGAATATATGCAGCCCTGACATAACTGATATTCACAATGATGACCTCAAGATTTTGAAAGATACCAAGTTCTTATTGATCATTAAAGAAAAACTAAGTTATGGTCAGAATAATTTTACTACTAAATGCACTGAGAACATATTGTTGAAGATTTATATTTTATTTAAAACCTGGCTATATGTGAATTATAAATATGTGAAATCCCTTGGTCAGAATTTTAAATATTCACACCACACCTTTCCCTATCACATTGCTTAAACATAAGATCACTTTAATGAAATCAGTAGCAGGGCTCAAGTTTTTAAGCAATACACTTTAATTAAACACTTCTAATCTATAGAAACAAGGTTTTTCTGAAGTAGCAAATTTTTTTCTAAACTATGGTATTTTGTTTAAATCAATCAGGAGCAGTATCAATGAAAATGCAATAATAGGAGCTATCCTATATTTCATGTCAGAATATATTCTTCCTTGAGACTTTATTACTCAAGGAAAGCTAAAAAGACAGAAAAGCATTTATAAAGAACAATCGTTAGTCAATTTTTCTAACAAAGAAGCTTTATGAATATATCTAAAAGATGATGATGGCAGTAATACTGATGATGATGGTGAAAACAATGACAAAAGTTTGAAAAATTTAAGGGCCAGCCCCGGTTGCCTAGTGGTTAAGTTCAGCGTGCTCCACTTTGGTGGCCCAGGTTCAGTTCCTGGGCACAGACCTACACAACTTGTCGATGCCCATGCAGTGGTGGCAGCTCACATACAAAATAGAGGAAGATTGGCCACAGATGTTACCTCAGGGCGAATCTTCCTGAGCAAAAAAAAAAAGTTTGAATAATTTAGTCTAAGACGCTTTTGCTGGGGAGAAAAAAAAAATTCCCAAAGACAATGTCATTAAAACTTATTTATGAATCATCATCCTAATTCTAAATGTGGTGAACAATTTTTTGATTCCACTTTATCTAAATACAACAATCACCTCTCCAAGAAAAGACCAAAGCCATTCATTCACTCATTCTTCCTCTGCTGACCAATTAGTCAACAATGGCTTGCACCATGACAAATGGTATGGAAAACCTACTTCAGACCCATCTGTACCATCACAAGCTTCTTTGAGACATTCCCTTACTTCCATACAATTCCCAAGGCTACTCTTGTGTAGTCCAATCCCTAAGTGAGAGAGAGATATTTTTTAGATTGAAAAAATATTAGCTCATCTGGTAACTGACAAGAAATACAAAGGCCGGTATCTGGAAGGTTCCAAGTCACATAAAACGTGTTTAAAGTAGTTTTAAGAAGAAAGCAAAAATATACAAAAAAGATTAAGGAATATTAAGTATTCGAGATATTTATTGATGGTTAAGAAACAGATTATATATCTCAGATACTACTAAAGAAAATCTGATATTTAATTCCTGATTGACCACGTCCAGTAGAAAAAAATTTCAGTTTCCCAGATGGAAAATTCAGTATCTTTACACAAATGCCAAAAGCTTAATTGTAAAGGTTTCTATAATATTGATCAAATCATACCTTAATAGAGAAGAAAAGAACAGGTGCATGTGCAACAAATTGGGTTATTAGTTCAATTTTGTCAGTTTTGAAGATTGAGGTGAGGCCTACACTATACAAAAACTCTGGCCTTAGATAATGGCACTGGAGACAAACACTGGACAATGATGGATCAAAAGAAACAAGGGCCAATACCTTTTTCCCACAGTGAGATACAGTTAATGAGTTAGACCTTTAGTCTCGTCTGTGATATTTTTAGTACTCAATTAAAAAGGGTTAAAATGTGAAGGCATTTGGAGTTTCCCAAACAAAGGATCAGATACTGAGGAAGACAGAAAGTAATACAAAAAAGAAAACAACTTCAGGTTACCTCAATGTCACTTGTAAAAAAAGAATCCCCGAGTCAACCTTTCTAAGCCATGTTAAATAAATAAGAAAAAAAACATAATAAAGCCATATACTGTGTGTTCCTCAGACAATTTATTCAATTAACCCCCATCTACAGAGAGTCCATGGGGTTTTATGCCACTTAAAAGGGAAATTCTTAAAGAAGAAAAAATATTCTTTGACTTCCAGGCATTTGATAGTCAATGTCAGAAAAAGAACAAATTCAATACAATACAGGTAATCTATCATGAGGAATTTAACAGACACGTTAAATTGGGAAACCATAAATGTTAGTGGTGTTTTGAAAAACACTGAGACTTTTTGAGCAATAAGAACTAAATGTAGGCAGGAGAAAACAACAGAGGAGAAGAATCCAAGGATGCTGATAGGAAACCAGGAAGGGAACTCACAGGAGGGAAGCACAGCCTGAAACAGGGGCGTCTATGGAGAGGATACTGCAGCAATCAGAGGCCAGAGGCGGGGACAGCACCACAGAGGAGACCTGCAGACAACTGCAAAACAAGGCTCAACCAGAGACTCTGAGCCACAAGGCTAAGGAACAGCAACAGATATTATCCAACGGGAATGTTCACCAAAATTACTGATATGCTATTTCATGAATAGAAGAGATTTATTACTTACCCGATTTATATGGTTGTTCCTTAAAATAATCTGTAGTAGGGTTTTCTCAAATTCTTCCAACTTCTTGGAACACTTTTTAAGAATATGATTAGATAAATCACAATCACTGATCAGTCTGGCTAAAGTATCAACAGCTTCTGTCCAAAAGCTTGAAAAAGGAAATTTGGGTTTACGGTAAAAAGTGATCAGGCCATCTAGCAACTGGAAAACAGAATCTGATACTGCAGAAGAGTCAGTTTCAAAGAGGCTCAAGTCTGTTTTCAGACTCCCTGATGCTGTCAAGTTCTTCAGTTCAAGCAGACGCTGCAAGAACTGCATGTGAGAAGACAGAGGATTTTCCGGAGTAGCCCAGTGTCTTTTCACAATGGGCAGTGGTGGGAAAGGTGTAGGGGTGCAGCTTTCCACAAAATGCTGGGACATCTCTGAAGGTTCTGTTCTCTGCTCATTTGATAAACCACACCCAGAATCTTCCAGCAGACTTAACGTATTCTCAGAACTTCTAGGTTCCTGAGCCTGTAACTGGGAAGACGGGTCTCCTAAAATAGAAAGGAATAGATAGAAGTGTGTTATCTTTCTGTGGCTAAAATGTCTTCATATAAAAACTAGACATTGATTTTTCTAACTTAAAATGCTAAATGAAGCATGCAAATATATATTAAACATTTAAAAAACCATAGTGTAAAAACTGAATAGAGGAAAAACTGTGAAAGAAACTGCTTAGGCTGACTGCAGAAAAGGTCTCTCTCCACTGGGAGAAGGCAAAGGTGATTCACCCGTGCATTTTCAGGTCACTATCTCTCGTTCAATTATGTGCCATGCTTGAAAGATACAAAGGAGAAACCACAAGACCTGAAGGAGGTCACCGTCTGGTACAGACTCCAACAGGTAACTACAAAGCAATAAGGTGTATCAGGAGACAGAGATTTGCTCAGGGCACTGTGACAATAGGAGGACCACTGAACAGTCCACCTGGCTAGATCAGTGCATCCTGGAGGAGGTTATAAAGCACAAGGAGGAGTTCAAAGTTAAAAGTTAGGGGAATGGAGTAAGACAGAATACCATATATGAAAGGGGTAAGCACAAAAGCATAGACTTAAGAAGGAAAAGAAAAGCACTGTGTATATAAGGACCCACAAGTAGTCTGATGTTCCTTTTACAGAAAATATAAGCCAAGAGATTAAGATGGATAAATATGTAGAGAAAAAAAAGATGATCAGGTCATAAAAGATCTTAAAAGACACATTAAGGACTTTAGAATTTATAGGTAGATGTACAGTGAGTGTAATTCAAACTTGAATAATGTAAAACCCCTTTGGAAAAATTATATACACACTCACACATACACCTGATATACAAAAATAAATATATATAAACAATTTATACATGTATGTGGACTTAATTATAATTATTCAAGTATATCTATCTATCTGTATATATATCTTACAGATCCTTGAAACTATGACTATAATCACTAGAATCTTCTGACATTGGCTTAGAAATACTGCAGTTAAGGCTTAACCTTAGGTTTAATTTAACTTTAGGTCATTCTTTGAGAGAGATGTCATCATAAATGCAAATAAGGTGGTGGTTTGTAAAATGATTATCAGTAAAATGTACACACAAAATTGAAAAAGTCTCATTGAACATTCTAAGCACATGCGTATATTTGTGAAAGCAAGTTTAAGAAACACCGCTGTCAGCAATGAGAGCAGGAATGAGGCATAAACAGTGTGATGCAGGAAAGTGAAATGGTGTTATTTTCATTCACAGATCACTCTATTGGCTATATCAAAGGCAGGTTTGAGGAGGACACAGTGAGACATTGAAAATTCAGTTAAAAAGCACCTCTATTAGTCCTAATACCAGGTGACAAGAGAAGTGAGCCAAGCAGTTGCAGTGGAAGGGAAAGGAAGGGATTGACCAGGGAAATAAATACAAAACATCGAAATATAATCTGGAAGCCAGCTGGCTGACTGGGTGTGGGCAATGAAGCAGAAGTAGGAATAAATGCATCCCATGGTTCTGACTTAGGTGACTGGGTAGACGATGGTGCTACCAACTGAAACAGTAATAATGCGAACAGAAGAACTGGCTTAGGAGAAACAATGAGAAGTTCAGTTTTGGTCACATAAACTGTGAAGCAAGTGGAGGAAATCCAGATGAAGATATTCATCTGGAAATTGGCCACCTAAGCCTAAGGGTGGGGAAAAGGTCTCGACTGAAAATACACTTTAGGAGTCATCAGTGTGTAGGTGGTATCTGAAATAATGGAATGGCTGTGATCACTGGGGAGAGTATGAGCAGTGCCTAGACCAGAGGATCAAAGGGGGACCCTGAGGAGCGTCAATATTTGAGGGCTGAGTAGAGGAAAAACACTCACTGAGGAGAAGGAGGAGGAACAACCAAAGAGGAACAAGAAGAATAAAAATGATCATGTCATGAAAGTCAAGGAAACAGTTCCAAGGAGAATTACCTTCAGTAGAGAAGTCCAATAAGATAAAAAGCTGAAAAAAAGATGTTGAAATTACCAATTAGAAAATCACTAGTGATCATGTCCATAGGAGCCGTGGTCAGTCAGGGTGGCAGACAGCGGCCAGAGTGCAACGGACTGAAGAGTGAATGGGCAGAAAGTAAGTGAAGAATGGCCAACGCTTCCGAGGACTTGATTGCGAGAGTATAAAGTGGAGAGTTACTGCGGGGAAACGTGGTGGGACAAATTGCGAGAAATTTGAGCAATTATAGACCAAGAAGAAAAAAGCAACAGAGAAGCAAAAATTGGAGATATGAGAAAAAATAAAAATGCCTGGTGGGGCATGGTCCTAGAGAAGGCAGGAGGACATGAAGCCAAGGACCCCAGTGATGGGTTGTGCTTAGTGAGGTAGAAGTAATTTTGTTTCCTCTGAGGCTGAAGGAAAGAGAATGAGAATGCAGAGGGATGTGAAAAAATACCCCCGGCATATGGCAAGTTAAAGGAGGTCTCACCTAACAGTCACACTTTTTTCAAGTTGGAGACAGGGGGCACCAGTTGAACAGGGCGTGGGAAGAAGGATGGAAGCGACGTCTCCCACCCCCCACACACATCTGGACATGTATCTAATTTGTTGCTCTTTTGTCCTTCAGTAAAATTAGAAGCTGGTGAGGCAAAATCAGCAGATGCAGCTTTAATTTACAGCTCATTCACTTAACAAGTGCCTACTATAACCACTACAAGTGGGCATATAGGTGCCTGCTCATTACCACTGCAATATCTGTGCTCCATGTTAGACAGAGAACACAGTATATCCAAAAATGTAGTGGTGCCCAAAACAGTGAACTACCAGCAAGCATTTAACTGCACGTGGCTATTTCTATACTAAAACAGGCAGACGGCCTGCTTGTTTCAAACCAGCAGATAGTTTCTTTCCCTTATGAGCAAGGAAAACATTCGAAATGACTTATTCTCAAGACATCCGGCTCACTCTACACAAAAATAAACGGGGGGACAATGGTAATTATTCAGGCAGATTATATTTTTCTATCATGGAATTCAAAATAATTCTCCACTAAGAAAGTGAACACAAGTTTAACTATTTCATTAATCTACTCAACTATCCATCAAAGAAAGCTGAATGTCATGGGTGATGATTTCAGGGAAGATTCATAAAATGAACTCTACCAACAACTAAACTGGGAAGCAAAAAGCTGCTTTCTTGTTTCTGCTTTTCACTCCTCACCGGTGTGCCTTTTGGCAAGTCTCAACCACTCCATCTCATCTCCTTCGTGTGCTGACAGGCACAAACTTGAAGAGAGTAGTTCTACCCACGCACATGCTCTGGGGACAGGAATACACAAAACAGACCAGCATTCTTCCTGGCTGCTTTGTTTATGTGCCCTTGGAAAGAGCGATGAGGGCATATGTTGGAGATACCAGTGTAGAAAACCACACAGGGAGGAGTCTCCTCTCAGTGCCCTAAAAGAATGCACAAAACTCCACAGCAGAGGGCCACGCTGAGATTTATACAGTATGGCTCACAGTATTAAAGCCACTCCATCAAACTGAACAGAAGAATCTTATATTCACATTTCACTTTACAAAGTAGTTTCATCAAATAATTCAATTGCTGTTCCCAACAATTCAGGAAGATATGTTATTATTATCCCTAATTTACCAATAAGGAAATGCAGGCTCAACTTGATTAAGAGACCTGAGAAAAGCCACACAGTGAGCAAGTGAAACCAATTCTTCAGTTCCACATCCAATCATCTTCCAACACAGCAAAGAGGCCTGCCAGCTTCTGTACATTTCCACTACAGCATTTATTAATTTCTATATGTTATCCACTTGTTTATGAGCTCCTGAATGGCAGAAGTCCTGTCCCTTGTCATCCTTGTGGTTGTCTCACTGAATAATAGTATCATCTATAGAAGACACCTTATCAAGAGAAATGCTTAGTGCTACAACTTGCTGCTGGCTGTGACAGATCTTCTCTCATCCTTTAATATTCATAATGAGCCAGGATCAACTCCTTGGCAACTTACACCAAACTACAACAATTACATAGATAGATGAGAGAGATCAGATAGATAGAATAGATAGATCGACAGACAGAAAGAAGATGGTTATTGCAATAATCATTTAAAATGTCTCAGAATACTTGCTAACAAAAGCCAATAATATGCTTTTTATAGCCTACTACCTCTTTAACCAATAACCAATTCATTTCCTCTCCTATTTATCCTTAATGAAAATTTTGAAGAGTACAAATAGGATTTGCATTGGAAACCAACACTTCCATATTGGAAACCACTCATTGCCTAATAAAGTAAATAACAGTGGGCAAATGTCACTATTGTGTATATCCTTAGAAGATGGAAAAGAGAAATAGGGGAAAAAAGCTTTCCAGAGAGGATTAAGCATTTTCAGTGATACTGAATATTAACAGTTACAACCTCTGACAGTTAATAAATAAGACATTTATTCACAAAAACAAGATTTTAAATATCCACCCATATTTAAGTAATATTATATAGCATGGAAATAGACAGTAACATACCCCTGTCTCTTTAAATGAGTCTTACATAACTACAGTCAGATTGTATCATTTGCTTGGATGACTTTTCTCAACATAAATCTCAAAGCATGGCTAACAAAGCATCATGTCCAAAGGAGAGAAGAGAAAATGAAGCCATGTTACTGCAACTTCCTGTAATTCCTGTTTTTCCAGGAGGGACTAAAATAAAGCAGAAGTCAAATGACGTCTCGCTCTCAATCCCTTACTGAAGGGATTGAGGACTGCAATTTCTTTCCAAATCATTGAATATGATCTAATTAACATGTGTGTCATTAGATTTAAAAGAGATAATAAACCATACACACACACCCCCCTGATCAAGCAGTGTCCAGCACATATGAAACACTCAGTAAATGATTATAGATATCAAGAATCTAAATTATGCTCAAGTATGAAATCCCATATAAAAGTATATGAAATAAGATATCAATTAAAACTACAGATCCTGTCTAAAATATCTTATAGTCCCTCTTATACATTGGATC